TTTTTATGCTGCTTTTGAACACTGTTTTGCTTGGATATGGACAATAAAATCGTTGCAACTGCAGCTTGGATTTACGTTTTGATCAGCTTGCGCGTCAACAACCACTCCCCTATTCAGCCGCTCAGCGACTTTGTTGGATAGTCGCTAATAATCTGTTTAATCTGCTTTATGAAATGCTTATCGTATAAAAACATATGTTTTGATTTAAATTAAGTTCTTATCAATATATAACAGACAGGATTCAATTGGTTAATAAGGGGTGAGGCCCTCTTTGTGACTTTTGACCCAGTTATACCAATGCAAATTTTCTGATGCAACTCCTCCTCACGCAGATAGACTCCACCCCCAACTGCTTTTATCTTCCTGCTCCTGGCAGATGCCCCAGCCCACTTTTATGAGCTTCTGTTTGAATCAGCCAATGGAGATAAAGGGGTGGGATTTCTGTTTTTCTGCTTTAAATCATTTTCGGAGGCCCTGTCATTCTACTTGTTGCATTTGGTAGAGGAAGAACCACTTTGCTCTGCCAGAAAAAAAAAGGTTCACATTAAAAGAGAAAAGCCTCACAAAAGAAGACAGCAAGAAGCTAATCAACTAGCATGTAGCTCATCTGCTCCAACCTCACAGACTACAGATGGACAAACCATCATGAGGCCCTGCTCCATGGCTGATGCTCCATCCTCTTATCTCCTGGATACAAATCTGATCTTAAATGTAAATGCAAATGTAAGTGCAAATGTATTTTCTTGTTGCAGAAACTGACAACTATTTCCTTGGTCTTGTTTACATTGAGGAGGAGTTGGTTCTCTCCACACCATGTCACAAAATTATCAACCAATGTCCTGAACTCCACCTCCTGCCCCCCTTCCACGCACCCTACAACTGTGCCATCTAAGCACTTTTGCAGATGGCACAGTTTGGAACAGTGCCGTCTGCACTTTCGATGTCACATATTAGACGATCTGATTTGCAGCTCTGTAATCTCACATACTGAGGCCTGGCTGTCAGATAGTCGATGATCCAGGTGATTAGTGTTGCATCTATGCCCATTTTAGCCAGCTTCTCCCATAGTAATCTTGGCTGGATAGTGTTGAAGGCTGATGAAGAGTCAAAGAAAAGGATGCGGACAATGGTATCAGGTCTGTCAAGGGAGGAATACGCACTCTGCAGCAAGTATATAATTGCATCATCCACTCCTAAGTGAGGCTAGTATGCAAACTGGAGAGGGTCTTGGTCTGCATCCACCTGTGACCTCAGATGTACTAGGAGCAGTCTCTCCATAACCTTCATAATGTGGGAGGTCAGAGCAATGGGTCTTTAGTCGTTGAGTGTTTCTGGAAGTATCTTCTTTGGTACTGGAACCAAGCACGATGTTTTCCATAGTTCTGGTACTTTATGGAGCTTCAGGCGCAAGTTAAAGAGGTAGTGCAGGACTCCATTTAACTGACCTGAACATGTCTTTAGGACCTTAGGGCTGATATTGACTGGACCACGGGATTTCCGTGACTGGGCCACGGGATTTCCCGGGGTGAATTTTCTCTAGTTGTCTTTTCACTTGGTCAGCAGTAATTGTGAAACTACAAGCAGACAATATGTGGGAACAGGGGCTATAACTAGGAACTGGGGAATCAAACCGGTTAAAGAACTGGCTCAACTGGTTTGCCCATTTGAGATCCCCCCAGCAGGGCAGTTACCGTTCCTCGTCAGTCCTGTGATCTCTCTCATCCCAGTCCAAACCTCTCTAGTATTGTTATTTTTGATTTTTTCTTCCAGCTTTCTCTTATACACAGCTCTGTGTTCACACAGTTTACATTTCAGCTGTTTTTGTATGCTTTTGAGTTTTGCTCGATCACCAGACTTAAAGGCTCTCTTTTTGTTAAGTCGAGTTTTCAATGCTCTTGTAACCCATGATTTGTTGTTCGAGTAGCATTTGACCTTTTTTGTGGGGACAGAATTGTCCACACAGAAACCAATGTAGTCAGAGATGCACACAGCTAAACTGTCGATGTCCTCGCCATGTGCTTTATAAAATATGTCCCAGTCAGTGGCTTCTAATGCATCACAGAGTGTATCTACATCCTCAGGGGACCATCTCCTTATTGTCTTTGTGATAACCTTTTGTTGTTTAACAGGCATAAGTGAAACTAAGTTTCTGCCGAGTGGGGGGAGTACAATGGATATATATGAGTCTTTAACATTTGCATAAAAAAGATCAAGAGTATTGTTTTCTCTTGTGGTGAGGCTATAGTTGCTACATAAATTTAACCTAAATTTAATTAAACTCAGCCTGCCAAACAGACTTTGATGTTGTGACACTTTGTTGTTACTCATTTATGATAGTTTTTTATCTTCAACATATTTGTGCAGTCTAAGCAACACCACACCTTGGGGAACTGACCCACTTCCACCTTTCCTGTGATGTCCCTAGAGACCCCAAGCCATCCTGCCACACCAGCCCCTGGCAACAGAGCACAGGTGCCAAAAGAGGATCCCATAATAACCCTTCTGCCTAACCAGTCTGCCTGTGAAAAGAATTGGCCGGTGCCAGCATCTCCAAGGCTGAGCCCACACCCCATATGCCTCTGTGTGGTGCAAGCCATTGGTCATTTGTGCCAACATGATCAGATTAACAGACACATATTCATAAGCGCATTGCCTTTGACCTAAACAAAATGGAACTGAAGAACTTTCATGACAAAGCTACATGACAAATGACTTTTTTGTGATTTGAACTTCACACATAGATTTCTTCTTAAAGTTTGAATTTCTGCTTCTTATATATGGTCAGAGGTTTACAAGCTACACAAGACTGAATCCCAAGTTCAAATATTTTCTTGCTAAAGTGGTGATTTTAAGTATAAGTATGGCAAATACTTGTCACACAACTCGTTAGAAGTTTCCAGTAAAATTCTTCTGGAATGGGATCGTTTCGTTGTGTGTGGGTGTGTTGGACCTGTTTATCCTCTTTGTGGCATTTAAGTTTCCAGAGAACAAACCATACATTTAAACAGAAACTTGGCATCAACAACAATGTGAACATTCAACAAAGGTGAATCATCAACTGTCAGCACAAGAAAAACTTTCAGTTTGTTCAGATATTTTGTTTCAAGACTTTATTAAATATTTCCTCATAAGTAAGCAATGCATGCATTTCAGGACCATGCAAACCAAATCTTAAAGCAATGTAATTTTAAATGCTTTTCTTGTATATTCATAATCTAATAAAAATATGTCAAGAAACAAACTAATATACAGTGTTTCTATGTTCATTAAAAATAAACTTAGAGCAGAATAGTTCTATATATTGCATACTTTTTCCTGCCTAACTTGTTACTGATGTCATTTTCAGAATTGTAAAGCTGATGAAGATTAAGCTCAATGTTTTCAAATAATACTGAGCAACATGTGAGAGAAGAGAGAAACATTGTTTTAATAGGAGAAAACATCCAGCAGAACCAAAATTAAATGCCTTTAAATGATATTTGGGGTGACTTGCAGCTGTACACTCTAAGTGAACTAAATAGATTTGAGCATGAAGGACAGAAAGAGAATTTAAAAAGCACTGGGACACAAGAAGAGCCACAGTCACTGGACAGTAGTTTCTTTTTGAAAAACCTTTCAGCAAAGACTAATTATATGATAAAAAAAGACTGAAGCTTTCAAACTCCTCATAAGCCACTTTCTATTTGGATATAATATGCATGTTCCAATCTGAAGAAACATTATTTGATATTTAAATGTTTTTACATTTCATCACATAAGTGTAGAGTAGAAACCTCCATTTGAATATCTTTAAGTGCCTAACTGGCAGAGGAGCAGCAAAGTGAAGGAGAACTAAACTGTCAGCCTGAAAGCTGCCAAGCTGGTTTATGCTCATTCTAGCAGCCGCTCCCTTCATAACAGTCACAGCAACAAAGATTAAACGTCTCTGTGAAGTTGTTACTTGAAAAAGTTATGTTCTTCATAACAAGAGAAAAATTTAGTGGCTGGATTTTCAAGAATATAATGATCATTGTGATTTTCCTACAAGGTAAGAAATGATTCTCTTAAAGGTCAATGTGTTGGGATCATTTTTAACCTTTTCTATTTAACAATCTATAACAGATTGGTCATTTTGTATCTGGCAATTAGCTGATGTTGAAGAACACACATTTATCACACTGTATTCTTATGTTTTGCACTAACAAGGCATGAAACTGTTAAACTTTGTTGTTCAACTGTTATTTCTGAATAAAATAACAGTATTAGCCAGCATGGAAACAATTTTATATCTTTTGAAGCTTAACAACAATAAAATATAAATTTATTAAATGCATGACTAAAAAAGACAGTGTTGCATCATGATGATTTTAGATAGTAAAAATTTAACCCTAAAAACTATTTTTGGGAAAATGCATTAACTAAGTAAAAGGTATTTAAAAATAATTTAATCATGCAGCCCTTCAAATAAGTATCATTACTCCATGATGGTCTACAACAGGTTTTGTGCCATTTGGTAACAGACCCAGCAGATCCAGTGTAAAAAGCAATGTTCAATCAAACAATGATCAATAAATTATAGAATCTCTAAATTTTCAGCTAAAGATGAAGATAAATTAGCTGAGAGAGAGTGAGAAAATTTCTGATGCTTGGAATAGCAAACACAATCAACCACATTCAAAATTCATAAGAAGATATTTCTAACACAAATATACTTTATGGTTTCAATCTCAGTGTTCCAGAAATTGACATATTATAGCATATAACACAGAGCTATGAGGAGTACCAGTTAAATTTAATGTGACTAATAACCCACCCTATGCTGAAAGACACCATTCCAGCCTAGTTCATATTCTACTTTTGAAGAGCTTGCAATGCTAGCTTGTTGTTTGAACAACTTGGGTTCACAAAACATTTTAAATACCAATCCTGATGTATATACTGACATAACCAAATGTCAGAAAATGTGGCTTTGTTTGTTTTTTGGCTTGTGTTGAGAATAAAATCTTTAACTTATGGCTCGTTGTATTCTCTTGTCCTTCCGGACTCAATGATGCCATGCGTGGGAATAAAAGCCAAATAGAGATGACAGTCAACGCTCCACGTCATACATTTTCAGAGTTTATTCCAACATTTAAAATATAAAATCACATCAACAACACAGACACTTCAAACACCCCAAGTCAAACTTACAGGGAACCATTTCACTGATGCACCGTTCCCCGGAGACAGCATCACGGGTAACCCCAGAGCGATCTGAAGTTAAAGTTCCAGGTCCTATACTTCTAAAGGGAGGGCAGGTTTCCCTTCTCTGCTGTATTCAAATTAGGGGACTGTCCTTAGCTAAATTCATTTAAATCTAGTTGACTATGTTCCAGTAAAAACCTGTTTTAAATATCAAAGAAGTGTCATTTTCTTTTGAATGAAGACAGATGTTTTTTATGACCCTGTCCCAGAGGAAGCTCTACTCTGTTGGCAGGACCAGATTGTTTTTACACCAGCTGTTAAATGTTATCAAAGTGGTCAAAAGGTTAAACTCACACACAGAGCCACGACCCCCTGTGAATGCCTGCTGAGTCCACAGAGACACTAGCTGTGTTTTAAATTATAGAGAACTACAAGCTAAGTTATTTTAATTCAACTTAGTGTAATATGTTTCAATAGAAATATCC